GCAACCCAGAGTTAAGGAAACTGATAAAAAATGAAACCCTTTTATGAAAGTGTAGAAGCTTTGCAGAATAAACTACAGACAGTCCCATCTATGGGTTCAGCTGAACAGTTTCTGGTCTGTCCTGGTAAAGACCAGCTATGAGGGGATGGTTGGTTGGAGTTCTTTACATTGTGTGATAGCGGTGAGGCTCTTCTGTCCTTCAGTCCTTTGTGTATATAAGCATTCAAATTATTTACAGAGATGCATTATATCAGTTGGTACATATTGGATCATTCTCAATTCCTTCTGTCTATAATTATTTCAGAGCTTCCAGCTGCCCGGAATCCCCAAGGTTCAGTTATCATCACCCTAGTTGTCCTCCTAATCTTGATGTTTATTATTGTGGTCATCTTCACAAGTCTCCTGTTTGTTTTCTGTAAGTATCACAGCTATGGTTATATTATTTGTTCTTTTAGTCATTGTGTGGATTAAAAAGTAAACATTAGCTTTAGGAGTTTGCACCCAAAATTCACAAATGGTGTTTTTATCATGTTGTCATAGATGGGGACGTAAAGTAAGCCTGAAACGTGAAAATGTACCTTTTGTCTTGAATTACTCCTGAAAACTACTGCTACACGGCAGCAGGGCTGCACAAAATCACATATATATATATATATATATATATATATATATATATATGTGTATACGTGATTTGCATTTACAGGTAGGGGGTACGAGAGCCACCCTACCTGTGCCACCATTGGCGGTAACAGCTGTTGATCACAGAGTCCCGGCCGGAGATTTCCCACCAGCACCTGGCGATCGCTGGGGAACAGTGAAAGGGGAGAGGTCTGTTTGTAAACAACATAGATCTCTTCTGTCAACAATAACATGCGGCTGTGTATTGCTCTGCACAGCAGCATGTCTCCCTAGTAAAACACACACAGCACACAGTTAACCCTTTGATCACCCCAGATGCTAACCCCTTCCTGCCCAGTGCCATTAGTACAGTGTCAGTGCTTTTTATTAGCACTGATCGCTGTATTGGTGTCACTGGGGATGTCAGTGGCAGATAGTCAGTTCCCCTCCCCAGTGTCAGAATGCTCGCCTCAGTCCCGCTATAGGTCACTGATCACACCATTACTAGTATAAAAAAAATAAAAATCCCAGTATCTATACGGCCATTTGTATAACGTTCACGTAAACCAGTGTTTCTCAACTCCAGTCCTCATGGACCCCCAACAGGTCATGTTTTCAGGATTTCCATTATTTTGCACAGGTGATTTGATCAGTTTCACTGCCTTAGTAATTACCACAGCTGTTTCATCTGAGGGAAATCCTGAAAACATGACCTGTTGGGGCTCCATGAGGACTGGAGTTGAGAAACACTGACGTAAACCAATTACTTTACATGTATTGGGGTTTTATTTTCAAAATTGTCTGCCTTTTTATGTTTATAGCGCAAAACATAAAAAACATAGAAGTGATCAAATACCACCAACAGAAAGCTCTATTTATGGGAAAAAAAAGGACGTAAATTTCTTTTGGGTGTGGCGTTGTATAACCGCGCAATTGTCAGTTAAAGTAACGCAGCGCCATATCTCAAAAAAATGGCCTGGTCAGGAAGGGGGGGGGGGGGATAAATCCTCTGGAGGGCGAGGGGTTAAAGTGATGGTCAACACTCTCTTTAAGATCTGTGTTTATTATCTCCATACTGGAACTGAAGTTTGCTTTAAGAGCTTCAGGAAATATTTGTGGAGCTTTACAATTGGTGCGTTGTACACACTGCTCTTATGCAAGCTGAAGCCCGTGTGTACAGGAAACGATTGTGATCTATGAAGAAGCACCAGTGTATTCAGGTGCAACAGAACTCAGAGGAATAATACGTTTGTCCGAGATGCATCGGTCACCCATCTGAAAGAGATCTTGTAATTCCTACAATGAACATTTTTACTGCTCATCCTGTGAGGAAGATTCTCTTATATTATGTTCTGTTTCCTCCCCAGATAACAGTATCACAGAGGAGCAGTCTCGTCTGAGGAGCAACGGTATTTACTTCCTCTATATACAGCTGTGGAAGTTTCAGAGTGAAAATCTGTGGTTAGCAGAGATATGTTGTAGTACACAAGAGGCTATACAGGAAGAGGGTGGGATGGTAGACACGGGCCCCAGTTCCTTCACCAATGATGGCTATTATGTAAGTTAACCACCTGAGTCCCCAGTTCCTTCTCCAACGGTGGTTTTTATGGAGGTTAACCACTCAAGTCCTCGGTTCCTTCAGCAATGGTGGTTATTACGTAGGTTAACCACTTGAGTCCTCAGTTCCTTCTCCAATGGTGGTTATTGTATAGGTTTACCACTCAAGTCCTCGGTTCCTTTAGCAACGGTGATTTTTGTGTAAGTTAACCACTTGAGTCCCCAGTTCCTTCTTCAGAGGTGATTTTTCTGTAGGTTAACCACCTGAGTCATCAGTTCCTGTAGCATTGGTGGCTTTTCTGTAGGTTAACCACTTGAGTCCTCAGTTCCTTCTCCAACTGTGGTTATTATGTAGGTTAACCACTCAAGTCCTCAGTTCCTTCAGCAATGGTGGTTATTACGTAGGTTAACCACCTGAATTCTCAGTTCCTTCAACAATGATGGTTTTTGTGTGGTCAACCACTTGAGTTCTCATTCCTTCAACAATGGTGGTTATTAATTAGATTAACCACTTGAGTCCCCAGTTCCTTCAGCAATGATGGTTTTTGTGTGGTCAACCACTTGAGTTCTCATTCCTTCAACAATGGTGGTTATAAAATAGGTTAACCACTCGAGTCCTCAGTTCCTTCAGCAGTGGTGGTTGTTACATAGGTAAACCATTTGAGTCCCCAGTTCCTTCAATAATGATGGTTATTGTGTAGGTTAACCACTTGAGTTCTCATTCCTTCAACAATAGTTGCAAGAACAACAAAAATATGGCATGAGGACCCCACCCTTGATACAACAATACACATTAATAGGTGCCACCAACACTATCTGGTAGGGTGATGCCCTAAAGCATAATAATATAAATAGAGAAAAGAAAATAGGCTACACACCCATTTGGCTAATTCCTCATACAAAATGTATTTTACACAAAACATGTACGTAAAAAGCATCACAGACATGTGACCTGACCCCCACTGCACCATCCCATATGGACCCCTTCAATACAAAACCCACCTCCAACCCAAGGCCCCACCACAACATCACCCCCCCTCCCAAGATGAATCCTAAAAGAGCCCTTCATACACATACCCATATGCCCCCTTAGAGAAGCTTAGAGAAAAAACACCCACCCCTAATTATTCCCCCCCCCCCACACAGTAGATGGTAAACTACCCCAAAAATACCACATGGGTGCTACCTGTTAACACTGAGACCAGTTCCCAACACCTTCCTATTTCACCATTGAACAGGAAAGTGTCGCCACTGTGCACAACACCACTAGAGATGAGCGAATTATTCAAAAATTCGATTCGGCTGATTCGCCGAATTTGTGGAATAAATTCGATTCGATGCGAATTTATTCGCTGCAAATTTAACTTATAAAAAGGGTTTCTAGGCTTCAGAGAGCCTTTATATTAGTGCAGAACACTGTACCTTTAATTTAAATGCCCTTGGAGTCTGCTGGGGAAGAGAAATAATACTGTCAGTCAGTATGACATGCAGATGAGTGCCGTCGATCTTAGAATCACCGCACACTTCACTCATTTGGCCAGTCACGGGGCCAAAACCAGAGTGTGGAGCCACAGTGTGGCGGTGGAGGCAGCAGCAATGGGAGGCCATACAGCACCCTATGACAAAAATGGAAACCACCAGCAGTGTGAGGAGACCTGAAAGTGGCACATGGCAGAGTGTGGCGATGGAGACAGCAGCAATGGGAGGCCGTACAGGGACCCATGAGACACTGTGGACCTGGCAGCAGCATGAGGAGGCGGTACAGGGGCCCATGACACACTCTGGACCTGGCAGCAGCATGAGGAGGCGGTACAGGGGCCCATGGCAAGAAGAAGAAGAAGATGAGGATGAGGATGAGGATGAAGAAGAAGAAGAAGAAGAAGTAGGATGAGGATGAAGAAGAAGAAGAAGAAGTAGGATGAGGATGAAGAAGAAAAAGAAGTAGGATGAGGATGAAGAAGAAGAAGAAGAAGAATAAGTAGGATGAAGAAGAAGAAGAAGAAGTAGGATGAGGATGAAGAAGAAGAAGAAGAAGAAGTAGGATGAGGATGAAGAAGAAGAAGAAGAAGTAGGGTGAGGATGAAGAAGAAGAAGAAGAAGAAGAAGTAGGATGAGGATGAAGAAGAAGAAGAAGAAGAAGAAGAAGAAGAAGTAGGATGAGGATGAAGAAGAAGAAGAAGAAGGATGAGGATGAAGAAGAAGAAGAAGTAGGATGAGGATGAAGAAGAAGAAGAAGAAGTAGGATGAGGATGAAGAAGAAGAAGAAGAAGAAGAAGAAGAAGAAGTAGGATGAGGATGAAGAAAAAGAAGAAGAAGAAGAAGTAGGATGAGGATGAGGATGAAGAAGAAGAAGAAGAAGTAGGATGAGGATGAAGAAGAAGAAGAAGAAGTAGGATGAGGATGAAGAAGAAGAAGAAGAAGAAGAAGAAGAGGTAGGATGAGGATGAAGAAGAAGAAGTAGGATGAGGATGAAGAAGAAGAAGAAGAAGAAGAAGAAGAAGAAGAAGAAGAAGAAGTAGGATGAGGATGAAGAAGAAGAAGAAGCAGAAGAAGAAGAAGAAGAAGTAGGATGATGAAGAAGAAGAAGAAGAAGAAGAAGAAGAAGAAGTAGGATGAGGATGAAGAAGAAGAAGAAGAAGAAGAAGAAGAAGAAGAAGTATGATGAGGATGAAGAAGAAGAAGAAGAAGAAAGAAGAAGTAGTAGGATGAGGATGAAGAAGAAGAAGAAGAAGTAGGATGAGGATGAAGAAGAAGAAGAAGAAGAAGTAGGATGAGGATGAAGAAGAAGAAGAAGAAGAAGTATGATGAGGATGAAGAAGAAGAAGAAGTAGGATGAGGATGAAGAAGTAGGATGAGGATGAAGAAGAAGTAGGATGAGGATGAAGAAGAAGAAGAAGAAGAAGAAGAAGTAGGATGAGGATGAAGAAGAAGAAGAAGAAGTAGGATGAGGATGAAGAAGAAGAAGAAGAAGTAGGATAAGGATGAAGAAGAAGAAGAAGAAGAAGAAGAAGTAGGATGAGGATGAAGAAGAAGAAGAAGAAGAAGATGAGGATGAGGATGAGGATGAAGAAGAAGAAGAAGAAGAAGAAGAAGTAGGATGAGGATGAAGAAGAAGAAGAAGAAGAAGAAGAAGAAGAAGAACAAGTAGGATGAGGATGAAGAAGAAGAAGAAGTAGGATGAGGAAGAAGAAGTAGGATGAGGATGAAGAAGAAGAAGAAGAAGAAGAAGAAGGAGGATGAGGATGAAGAAGAAGAAGAAGAATAAGAAGAAGAAGTAGGATGAGGATGAAGAAGAAGAAGAAGAAGAAGAAGTAGGATGAGGATGAAGAAGAATTCCAGTGCAGCAAAAAGTGTATCTGCAGAGAGCTCCGCTATTTCTGACAGTTCTCTGACAGTTCTTTCACATTTACAGCGATTGAAAACATTGTATCTATTTGTTTCCGAATAAAAACATCTGTATCCTAAATGGAAACAAATACATACAATGTTTCAACCGCTGTAAATGTGAAGGAACTGTCAGAGAACTGTCAGAAATAGCGGAGCTCTCTGCAGGGACATTTTTGCCGGCTGTAGAAGGGATGAAAATCGGGCCGATCGGGGAAAATTCGATTCGCGCATCCGAAGTTTGCTAATATTCAGATTTGGCGTGAATCAAATTTTTCCTAATATTCAAAACGAATTCCACTTCGCCAAGTTCGATTCGCTCATCTCTAAACACCACCAACTAAAAGGGCCCACCACATCTACACCTGACTGCCAGGGAGCTATGCCATAAAATACGTACCAGAAGCCCCCCCCAAAACTGGACTGGTACTAACAGCACCATACACTAGATCAGTGTTTTTCAACCTTTTTTGTGCAAAGGCACACTTTTTTCATGAAAAAAAATCACGAGGCACACCACCATTAGAAAATGTTAAAAAAATTTACCTCTGTGCCTATATTGACTATATATAAAGTAATTCTCTTGAATAGGAATCAAACACAAAGAAATTATTTTATAATTACTTTATTATGAAATAATAAAGTATTTTATAATTGGACCCGGGGGCCGGACCAAGAGTAGATGAATGATGTGTATGTGTCATCCATAGTAAGTATAGTAATATTCCCCCATAGTAAGCATAGTAATTAATCCCCCATATAGTAATTCATCCTCCATATAGTAATTCATCCCCCATAGTAATTCATCCCTCATATAGTATTTCATCCCCCCATATAGTATTTCATCCCCCCATATAGTATTTCATCCCCCCATATAGTATTTCATCCCTCATATAGTAATTCATCCCTCATATAGTATTTCATCCCTCATATAGTATTTCATCCCTCATATAGTATTTCATCCCCCATATAGTATTTCATCCCCCCATATAGTATTTCATCCCCTCATATAGTATTTCATCCCTCATATAGTATTTCATCCCCCCCATATAGTATTTCATCCCTCATACAGTAATTCATCCCTCATATAGTATTTCATCCCTCATATAGTATTTCATCCCCCCATATAGTATTTCATCCCTCATATAGTAATTCATCCCCCCATATAGTATTTCATCCCCCCATATAGTATTTCATCCCCCCATATAGTATTTCATCCCTCATATAGTAATTCATCCCTGATATAGTAATTCATCCCCCATATAGTATTTCATCCCCCCATATAGTATTTCATCCCTCATAAAGTAATTCATCCCTCATATAGTATTTCATCCCCCACAGTACTATTCCCCCCCCCCCCCCCCCTTCTAGTAAGCCAAGTCCCCCGTGTCAATTCACTTACCTTTTGCGTTCCTCTCGCTGTCTTCCCGCGCCGTTCGGGTCTTCAGGGCGGACTGTGAGAGGAGCCTAGCTCCCCTCCCCTCACGTTCGGCACGCTGCCCCGCCTACACACATCCTGACAGCCACATCCGCAAGCCGGATTAAAAGGTCCGCGCGGACTTTTGGGGCTGCCAACCGAGAGGAGGCAGGGGAGCGGCCGACCGAGAGGAGGGAGGGGAGCAGGCGCCCGGCACACAGAAGAGCCGCATTAGACTGGGTAAAGAGCCGCATGTGGCTCGCGAGCCGCGGCTTGCCGACCACTGAATCATTAGATTCTAATGATTGGTCTATTTGTGAGCCGAAGCCACATGTTACAGATGAAATTGGAATTTTTCCCACGGCACACCCAGACAATATCTCACGGCACACTAGTGTGCCGCGGCACAGTGGTTGAAAAACGCTGCACTAGATGATACAGTCTAAAACCTATGACTACGTTCTTCCCAACATGTTCTTTGTTTCTCTCAGCTTCTTCAGGAGCATTGGGGAGAGCAGGACATCTACAAAGACAATGAATACACCCAGGGGCGGGACTGACCATTTGGAAACTCGGGCACTGCCCGAGGGCCCGGGGTCAGTAGGGGCCCCATGAGATGCCCTGGTACCTTTTTCATAGGCTTTTTTGAGTTTGGGCAAGGACACAGGAACCCCATGATCCCCTATTGCCCGGGGGGCCCCATGAGTTGTCAGTCCGCCCCTGAATACACCAAAACAATTGTATAGAGTGATAGCATAATACACATGTAATCAGAGTGTTAGAAAAATCAGCTTGACAAAATCAAAAACCACCGCCCCCCCCCCCCCCCCCATCTGGTGTGAATGGTTTTTGGTTCTATATTGACCTTTCATTAGTGGATTTGCATTCACTATATTGAATGTCAGCATTAGCAAAGACACTTGAATGACACAGTACCAGTCACAATCCCATCAGTACAGCACAACTCCACTTTCCCGCTTGAATCCCGTGACCACTTTACAGTCCTCTGGTTCATTGGTTGCCGGTTGCTAGGGGCAATGGCCGTGCAGGTTGCTATAGGGAAATCCTGGAATATGAGCCCCCACATGTAGCGCTACCCCCTTGAGGGCAACTGGATTTTCCTGGGTTCCCCTAAGCTCTGCACAGCCAGGCAACATGCTTTTTCCACATTTTATATCGGAGTCAGTAAAACAGCCCTTGAGCTTGGTTTTGATGTCTTTATTAGGGGATAACAACTTGGATGGGGTCTAGGGGTATATGGGATGCCCAAGGAACTGTAGAACTTCGAGGAAAACTTCCTACCAAAATGTATAAATATGTGGACAAAATCAGCAACTATCTTAGTAAGGAGCACTGAGTCCCCTTTGGTGCACCTCCTCAGACCCCAGATGAAACCCTCCTGCTGTTCAAGCTCTCTCACATTTAAGGGTTGTCCTAGTCACCTTGCCAAGTCTCCTACCTGGGGATTGGCCAGGTTCCCTCAAACATGCAAATCCAGGCCTGCTCCCCCCACTTCTGGAAAGTTCCAGCAGTTTCTAGAGGGGTGGGAGGGCTCCAGAAGCCCTGACCTGTAGAGCCTACCAGCCTGTTCTGAGGTAACCTCACTGCCTCACTACCAGTCTGATTCATCCCAGGCATCTAGCAAGCCTCTGACTAACCACACAAATCCTATCTACCTAGAGGGCGCTACATATTCATTAACATTCAGTAGACATCTACTTCATAGGAAGTTTTTAAACATCATATCCTGTATTAGCTATTTATTTTTATAATTATATTTCTAGTTTTCTGTCAAATGAATTGTTCTGGTTTTCTAACAAATAGCATCCCATTGTTAATTCCAGATAAATGTATGACTTTGCTTCTGTTCAGGAATTGGTTTCTGCCAAGCTGTCTGGATACAGAGGAATATTTCCAGTGCTGATTGGAGGGGAGGAATTCAGGAACACAGGGTGCAGCTGTGTATGGCAGCCAATCAGCTACTAACCGCAGCTTGTTCAATGCGAGTTCAAATACAAAGCTTTGGTGTTTACACCATAAATGGGCAGAGGGATATACATTTGGTGGATGACTTCAGATCAGATTTAAAATAAGAGACCCTAGATGTCAGTGGTCTCCAAACTGTTGCCAGATGTGGCCTTTCCTTGCCTTTATCTGGTCATCAAGACATTATTCCTGCCACTGATACGAGACAGTGCTCCTCCCACTGACACCAATGATGGGGCACTATTCCTCCCACTGACACCAATGATGGGGCACTATTCCTCCCACTGACACCAATGATGGGGCACTATTCCTCCCACTGATACCAATGATGGGGCACTATTCCTCCACTGACACCAATGATGGGGCACTATTCCTCCCACTGACACCAATGATGGGGCACTATTCCTCCCACTGACACCAATGATGAGGCACTAATCCTCCCACTGATACCAATGATGGGGCACTATTCCCCCCCACTGACACCAATGATGGGGCACTATTCCTCCCACTGATACCAATGATGGGGCACTATTCCTCCCACTGACACCAATGATGGGGCACTATTCCTCCCACTGACACCAATGATGGGGCACTATTCCTCCCAGTGACACCAATGATGGGGCACTATTCCTCCCACTGATACCAATGATGGAGCACTATTCCTCCCACTGATACCAATGATGGGGCACTATTCCTCCCACTGATACCAATGATGGGACACTATTCCTCCCACTGACACCAATGATGGGACACTATTCCTCCCACTGATACCAATGATGGGACACTATTCCTCCCACTGATACCAATGATGGGACACTATTCCTCCCACTGACACCAATGATGGGGCACTATTCCTCCCACTGACACCAATGATGGGACACTATTCCTCCCACTGATACCAATGATGGGACACTATTCCTCCCACTGACACCAATGATGGGGCACTATTCCTCCCACTGATACCAATGATGGGACACTATTCTTCCCACCGACACCAATGATGGGGCACTATTCCTCCCACTGACACCAATGATGGGACACTATTCCTCCCACCGACACCAATGATGGGGCACTATTCCTCCCACTGACACCAATGATGGGGCACTATTCCTCCCACTGACACCAATGATGGGACACTATTCCTCCCACTGATACCAATGATGGGGCACTATTCCTCCCACTGACACCAATGATGGGGCACTATTCCTCCCACTGACACCAATGATGGGGAACTATTCCTCCCACTGATACCAATGATGGGACACTATTCCTCCCACTGATACCAATGATGGGGCACTATTCCTCCCACCGACACCAATGATGGGGCACTATTCCTCCCACTGACACCAATGATGGGACACTATTCCTCCCACCGACACCAATGATGGGGCACTATTCCTCCCACTGACACCAATGATGGGGCACTATTCCTCCCACTGACACCAATGATGGGGCACTATTCCTCCCACTGACACCAATGATGGGGCACTATTCCTCCCACTGATACCAATGATGGGGCACTATTCCTCCCACTGACACCAATGATGGGGCACTATTCCTTCCACTGACACCAATGATGGGGCACTATTCCTCCCACTGACACCAATGATGGGGCACTATTCCTCCCACTGACACCAATGATGGGACACTATTCCTCCCACT